TGTGCGTGTGTGTGTGTGTGTGTGTGTGTGTGTGTTTGTGTGTGTTTGTGTGTGTGTGTAAGCAGAGGTAAAGTTTGCGTTCTATGTGATGATGCTTGTTCACTAATGAAGTCCATCCCTTATGGGATGCGGGGATGTGAACCTGGAAGCACACCAGCTAGCGTGTGCGTGTGTTTGTCGTCATCACGTTTTGGAGGCGTGGATCTGTTTCTACCGTCACTTGATGCAAAGATGGCTCAACACCTTGGATATGAACAACAGGACAAATGTGATGCCGCCAAAGACCGAAGCGGTCAACTGAGGGGCGGAAAAAAAAAAAGAAAGCAGCTACATCATATTCACAGTGGAAATTTTGTTTTGTAGTCACGCAACATGCGCAGTTGTGTGCTTAAACAAGGCTCCAAAAGCCACAATAGAATAATTTTATTCAGCCAAAAATCGGAATGGACCTCAAAAAAAATCCATAGCGGTTGAGCCCGAGCCGGGTCATTAACAAACTTGGGCATGCCCCGGTTAAAGGAAGCAAACTCATCAACAATAGTTAATGTAATGAATTAAGAGTAGCAAGGCCTCTGTGCCAGCCAAAGCGGTGCCAAACAGAGGACTGGCAGGAGAAGGTCTCCAACAACCTTCAAGTGACCTTGCCAAAATGGATGCTGAATGTCAACGGCACCACTTTAGCCAGCGTCTGGCTGCGAGTGGGCCAAACAAACGGTGGAGGGGCTTAGAGGCCAGTACTCAAATCCTCAATGCTAATAATACCCCTACTGTGTTGAATAGCATTACAGGCTAACACGTAGCTACGTAGCATCCCGACGTAAGGATGGCTGGCACGGGACTTTATTTGTTTTTGTGGTATTTACATTCTGAGGGATTTTTCTGGTTAGTGTTTCTCATCAGATTATGTCAAGGTGGGAAATGTTTTATAGCCGAGGATGAACTGATCACTGTTATTGACCTGGATTTGTTTATTTTTTGGGGGCATTCTGAAGGAATTCTTAGTTCGCGTTCCAGTCAGACCAACCGGAAAATTGCGGAATGTGGAAATTTGCTCCATGTCTGAGGAGGTCTTCAATCGTGTTGCCTTTGGCACCTCTCAGCACCCGCCCGCCACGTGCCCAAAATACCCTCGATGACGTTGTGTTTGTACGTAGATTAGTGGCAAGTGGGGAGGCCACCTGCTGTTGCTTTTGCTAAGCTAATCGACACGCGAAATAATAAAATATTTAAATGTCCTCTTTTTTTCCTCTGAATGTCATCCAGTCGATGGTGAAAGTCATCAAGCCACACCTACTTAGTTTCCCCTCTCAATCCTCCCATCAGACGTGCAAGGTGACGACCTGCACTTCTCTTGTCTTTCTGGACCTATTACTAGCACGCGCGCACACACGCACACGCACACCAGCCAGCGTCCCGGACCCCATCTGCACTCTCCTTTCTCCAACCCGCTAATTGCATATGCACAAATGCAAATGCCTATTAATTAATTACTTGACTAATTAGCGCAGTGGTATTTTAGAGCGATAAATCAAGCGGAGATGGGGCAGAGGACGTCTGAAGGAGGAGGAAGATGTGGCGGGGCGGGGTCGCTGGGTCGATGGCGGAGTTTTAGGAGGAAGGGCCGCCACGTCGACAAAGAAGCCGTGAGGTTCCGAAAGGCGAAGTGCGAAAGGTAGAGGCGGATTCAATTTAGGCGGCACGTGAGCCCCCCCACCCCGAACCGTGCTCTGCCAGCTGTGTCGCTTGCTGGCAGGCGGCCAAGGCGGGCACCCACCAAAAAGGGGCTTGGATGCATATTCATCCACAGTGGAAGGAGACACCGAAAAATTCAATCCAAATACCAGCTTTAGTCTGTCAATAAATTAAAACACCAAAATTGGCACCGTAAAACAGTACCACAATTTCCCCATCGGGAATAATGTCAAGTCAATCAATTAGTCCCCTAACGTCCTAAAAGCTTTGTGAACTGTCCAGGCGATACATTTTGACCTGTTCCTGCAGAAAGAGGAATTAACCACCGTATTGCAAAACTGCTCACTGGCACTTCAGTTTTCCTTTTGTTTTATTTGTCAATTCTTACAGTGAACTTGCGACTGACAACAGCTGGAAGCAGGCACACTGCATCTGATTTGGAGAACTGCGTGAATGTGTTTGAAGTGAGTGGGAGGGTTGAAACTCTAAAAGATCTTTTTATATGGTCTCTGTTCCAGGTTTCTACCCCCGCCCCCCCCTTTTTTTTTTAAACGGGCTTCACTGTAAAGTAAAACTACTTAAGAGAGGAAACTGGAAGCAGCGGCTAATGCCACCACGAGTGGTCGTTTTGGTCATGCCAAGAGTGAAAGCCTTGCAATAATTTGACTGCGATGTGCATAATCTTAAAATAAAACAACCAATTCAGAAGAAGAAAACAGAAAGCAGAGTGACATTGTAACCTGCAATTTTTATTCACTGGGAAAGAATTCAACTCAAGTTACAAAGTATGTGGAAGCGGGTAATAGCTGGAATTCAGTAACAGCCGTGTACATTTTCTTTACTAGCCATTAGCCTTTACTAGAGGTGTACAAGGAGCAGAACGGCATTTTTTTGTGGGTTGAGGGGCGGAGGGTGGTGATGATTCCGGAAGCTTTTGCAATGATCTATCAGTTTGTGTGTAGGTGTGTCTAGTCCTCACTGTACACCGATAGCGACAGACTGAAATATTCAATCTTCTTCGCTGGTCCGGCAGACAATGAGGTTCTTAATTGCAGCATCAGCAGGCTCCACCTTCTCCTCCTCCTCCTCCTCCAGCTCTTCTTCCCTTCACTTGTTCGTTTGGCGCATCTGCAACAGAATCAAACATCGTCAGATACAATCAGTCATGCACTCGCCTTCATACCGCTGAAGTGTGCCTCTCGTTTACTTCCTATATGAGTGCAATCCGTTTGTTTTTTTTTTAGACGATGAAGTCCACTTTATTCGGTCTACACATGAGAGACCCCCCCCCCACCCCATCATATCTTGTGCCAAGTCAGCCCCGCACCCGGCCAAGCTCGAACATCTTTTGGGATTTTTTTGCCTTTTAATTATAGTAAGAGAGGATTAATTATGGCAGTGGAAACAAGGGGTGGGTGGGGGGGGGCATGCATTATTGATGCTATGAGTGCAGGGCTGGAGGGGGTAGAGGGTGCTAATTAAATCACTGCCCCATTGCCACGTCCGCCATGTCTCCCACCTGCTACATCCCAGAGACCCCACCCTGGGCATTTTGCACCCACGTGTTTCACATGGATTTCAAACACAAATAAACCAAATCGATGCTCTTCTTTCTGTATAATCTAATAATCATCCGAGTTTGTATGCAACCACAACAGCATGAGTTAAAAAAAAAATACAATTCATGGAAGAAACAGGTAACAAAATTGCCTGTAAATAAAAATCCATGAGGAGAAGTAAGTGTCGGTTGCCCTCTAGTGGATTGCAGTTTACCTGCAACCGACGAGCATGAGACTGATGCTTCACATAACCATAATTCATCGTAGAAGAAAGCAGAAACCAAGTGATGAACCGCCACAATTCTGTTACGAGATTAAAAAAGAAAAGAAAAGGAAAACGTGAAACTGTCAGTTGTGCATTTTGTGTGCGTGTGTGCGCGTGTATACAACGAGAGAACCTGTAGTTCCCTAACACGCCATCAGGTGGCAATGAATACGTTTGAAATGTACGAATTGTTGAGTACTGATACCTTGATTTGAGTTTACTGTAATTCTTTCCGTGACCCATCGATTTTCTAGAGTTTTCTAGAGCTTCCTGTGTTTCCCCCGTACCTACGTGGGTTTTCTTCGAGTACTCCTTTTTCCTCCCACATTCCAAAAAACATCGAGACATTCCTTCAACATGCTGTATTGGAATCGAAATACCACAAGATGGCGCCATTTCTTTTGTGTGGAAAAGTAGGACTGCATTTCTATGAGGCAGGACTTTGGTGGCATCTTGTGGAATTTTAAGGCTTTCCAGATTGAGCGAAAAAATAGCCAATAAGTCAGTTTTTCATCAGATCTAGAGGATAATTTTTTTTACAAATCAGCGAAAAAATGAATTACAAGTCGCAAATTGTGAATAGGCAGGGTTACACTCTTCATATGAAATAAAATATTTTACAGGTCTGATCTTTTCTCGCCTTTTTCTGTTTCAAATGGCACTGACACAGAAAATAAAGGAACAAATATCTTTTTTTTGTTTACACTTAAATACTAGCAAATTACTTAAAACATTCCCAACAGTATGACCTAGTAACAGATTATTTCTATTTGCGTTATTTCGTACGGGAAATATCAGATTGTGTTAGACTTTAGAGGTCTCACATGTATACGAAATGACCCAGTCTTCACCCACAGAGTTACAAAGCAGATGGCACAAAGCATCTCCCAGGAATAAAACATATCCGGATTTCTCACCCTCCACCCCCACCCCCACAACAAAAACAAACACAATGTGTCATCTGAATTAGGAATGGGGAAAAAAAAAAACAGATTTACTGGTGCCCTCAATCTGATTTTCTGCATGCGTAATCCACGCAGACGTTACGCACGCCGCACTCAAAAAGCATTCTCTTCATTTACTTACGACCAGTTCAAAGTTAGTTGAAGTCTGCAGTCGTGAGCCTTTGGGGTTGAATGTTGTCTCTCTGATTTATGCTCCAGCTTCCTTCCAAGGACCACTGCTCCACAAATGCAATCAATCTGTGACCATATTTCTGCTTTTGATGGTTTTAAGTGCAGTTCACCAAGCGCAAGCCAAGCTAAAGGATATTTATTTCATGCAATCTGGATTTGGAGTCAGATTAATCATTTTGTCGTACTCCTGGAGCCTCTGATGAGCCCCCTTACTGTCTGTATTTCATCAGACGCAAATGCCTGCGCCGCAGTCGACATCAATTAATCACCCGGGTGCATTGTCTACTTGAAAAATAAGAATAAATGCCGCACTGCAATTGGACTGAAGCGACAGCAAACTGGATAGAAAAGGATGAAATGAAGAAAGATGCAATTCACACAGAAAAAAAAAACCTTCATCATAACACCCTTATTGAGTTAGCGAATAAAGTAGAAGCAAGCTAATAATGCACTCAAAGCAATTCATATGAACATCTGGACATACACTTGCGCGGATGGAGAAAAATGCAATTCACATAGACAAACTTTTTGTCAGCCTTGCATGTTATTTACTTCCTGATAGTAGAACAGCCACAGAAGGTTCCTTAAGTATCAGTGGCTTGTATCGGCAGCCTTTTTGATGACACGATACATTGAAATAAATACATAAATAAATAAATGATGTTCATATTTTGGGATTGCTGGACTAAGTCGTTAATCCGTTTGTTATGATGCACCTGTACTCCGCCTCATTACATTCAGTTGAAAGCGCATTATCGGGCAAGGGTGTGATGACATGACGCGTTGCCTGCGACTGTGTCTACAGTCTTTAATACATTCCTCATGATTTTTTTTTTTTTTTTTTTTTGGTGGAATACCGGCCAAACGCGCAGCAAGTTACGCAACAGCGCTGGCATGAATTCAAAGAGAGCAGTTTGAATTCTCCGGAATATTCTTGCAGCTGCTTGTTTGTCAAGCTATTCCGTCTTCCTCCATGAATAACGATGAGTGAGGGGCTACCTGTGGGAATGTGTGGGGGGGGGGGGGGGGGATGCCCAGGACTGGAGGAGCTTTGTGGAAACGTTAAAAAAAAAAAAAAACAGTATCAAATTCAGTCTCTGCAAACTGACTCCCCCTTGTATGCACTCCCACAACGAAGTAGTGATTGCTCTACAGTGGGATGCATTTTTGACTCCACCAAACTATTTAAGGAGTATTGGATGTGAGAAATGGACATGCACAAAATTTCCCAAATTAAATTGTTCAAAGTCAGCAAAAAAAAAAAAAAAAGCATTTTTTTTACTTATTTGAGGTAGACGAGGTCACCATCGGATCTCACTTCCTGTTTCAACCCCTAGAGTTGCGTTCTTGTGGCTTGAACTTCAGCTCTTCTTCTTTCATCCACAGTCAAAGTTTAAGAAGACTAAACTGATGATGTCAGTTTCCCCCACCGCTCCCTTCTCTTGTTTATCTCCCTCCTCTTCTTCCTCCTCCCCTTCGGCTCCAATCTCTCATTCACAAAGAGAGGCCAAAAGAGGCTCAGCTGACGTGATGAGATTATTTTTTTTTTCTCCCCCATTTCACTCTGATCACAAATCCACTTCAGCTTAGAAAGTAAAAAGCTCATCCATCCTCTCTCTCTCTCTCTCTCTCTCTCTCTCTCTCTCTCTCTCTCTCTCTCTCTCTCTCTCTCTGGCTTTCTCTCCTCTGACTTTCTCTCCTCCCCCCTCGTGTGCCGCCCCTCGCTTTCCTCCCTCCCCATTCAGCGGCGTGTGAGGACGGACGGACGCACGCACGCACCGCTGGGCTGCTGCTTCTGCCGTTGCCGTACAGGTTGAGCGGAGAGGAGGAACCACAGCGGACTTTGGCGGACTTCTCTCATCTGCTGGCTGTGCTCGAAGGAGGCGAGTCTCGAGGATCAGCAGGTCCTCCGGAGAAGTTGCACCGATTACGTTTTCGAGGAGCCATGGAGCCCTCCATGTCGACCGAGTTGGAGCCCAAAGAGCGGAGGAAGATCCAGTTCGCCGTCCCGGCCTCGGGAGCCACCAATCTGGACCCCCGGCAAGTTGAGATGGTGAGTGGGCAGCGTTGTTAGACAAAACTTGTTTTTCAAGTGTCTCACAGTAGTTCGCAAGATCTCAACAACTTCCTGTCTGCTTGTCATTGAGAAACGATGGTGACATTTCTCTCTTGCCGCTTCCTCGTGAGATGATCTCATCTTGACCCGCATCCTTCCTCCTATATCACCGCCATCATTATCTGCACCATTGGACCCGACCCTGAACGTTTTGCGCACGTTGTCAATTTTGATCTCATGCTATGTCTACATGATTTCCTCCTGCCCCCAAGAAAAAAAATAAATAAATCAGCGGCTATCAGGTGCATGCCAAAGCAACAAGTGGCCCTGTAACACCGGCAATGGAAAAGGGAGCGCAGAACATTAACCAACTGATACTTTTGATGAATCGATCGCTTATTTTCCCCCATTGAAATTTGGTCAAATATCAAGTGAAAAAACAAAACAAAACAACAAAGGCGCTCTAAATAGAATGCAGACACCGATGCACGTGGACTGTATCGTCAGATTTTTGGGTACAGCGCTGAGGAGTTGCCCGGTCACCATGGCGACGGAGCAGACAACAATGTCGCTCCGAGCTTCCCTCTCGGCAGACGACTGAAAAGGTCGACTCTAATGGACGGCTCCTTTGCGCTGGATCTTGCGCATAACACTGGACACTTCTTTAGGAACACCGGCACAAAATAATAATGCTTCCTTCTGATTGATAGGGAGATGCGTATGTGTCAATCAGCTACAGATCAGGGACAAATTATTAGGAACAGCTCTCCCGATAAGAAAACTCACTTCCTGGTTCTAATTTATAGTCACTTTGCATGTACTTTTTGACCTGACCACAATGGAGTATGCGTGTGTGCTATCTGGCAAACTTCAACAGCCCTTCGCCACTCCTCCTACTGATGTCACCAACGTACATTTTCAAGGAAAGCGCATATTTTGAGACTCGGAGAGACTTGAGATTCACTTGGGCGTACAAAATCCTACTAAATTCAAGAACAAGCTGAGACACTTCCGGTGACATTTAAAGCGGACTGAGCGACGAGGTTAAAAGTGACTGAACAGGACAACTGTGAAAAAAAAATTGTCCGCAATTCTTCGCAGCACATCAAGCTACTGATGCTCTGCAATGAAAATCATGTGAGACTGTATTGTGTTTTGAGGTTCCATATATGTGTTCTGAACTGTATTGCTTTTTATTGAACCACAAAAACATGGCAGGATTGTCAAGGGAGAAGTTTCACCGACTTTACCCTTTAGAAATTCTTTGACTGGCTGAGACATGCGGCGCTATTTACCGGCAATTCAAATTCTGAATCGCAGCAAAACCAGTGGCCGACGTTCGGCAACTCCTAAAAATCTTTTCCGAAGCCCCCACACTGCGTCTGTTTCGGCCACGTCGCTTTGTGTGCGGCTGGCTCAGCACGTCCGAGCTTTTAGGTCGCCCACCCGCCGTCCACTTTTTCTGGGTTAAACGTCAAGCGGCGACCTTTGAGGCTAGCCGTGTTTGTGGGCAAACACGGGAGGTCTGGCAGGCTGTCAATACACAAGAGACATCTGCACACTCCGCATCTTGACGGATGCCGCAAAGCATGCTGGGAGAGAGGCGGGAATGTCCTCGATGAAGCAATTTGGGAGGTTCTTAAAATGAGTTTCGGAGTTCGTTGAAGTAAAGTAAAAGTGCGTTCATATATTTAACCCTTTCAGGGAGAGCAGTTACTACATGTCATCAGGTTACGGGGTGCATGAAAAGGTTCAGATGTAGGCAGCGTGGGTTCAATGATTTGAAACCAGTCCATCATGTATTTCAAAAAATTTGAAAATCACTCAATGAAAAAAAAAAGCGCATTTTAATGGTGGTTAATTTAATGAGAAATTCTGAGAAATATTACAGAATCACCAAGGTTGATGATGATCACGCAAAAAGTAACAAGGCAGACATGAATATAAAAAAATGAAACCAAGTAGGACAACCCATATTTGTATCACATGACCACATATCCTCACGTCAAAAGAACACCCCCCCAAAACCGAACATCGCCTGCGCCAGTATGAATGTTGTGTACATGGACTTTATTTTGAAAATCCCGCAAATTGACTTGATGCTAATACCAAGGAGTTAATCGTGCAGCTTGCGTGTGTTTGTAAACTTGTGTCATGTGTCAACAGCCTTAAAACATCAATATTGAGCGTGTACTGCATGTTGATGATAGTGTACACAAGCTTGTTGAGTATATGCGCCATCACCGTGGAGGCCTCGCCACGCTCGTCGGGTGTCGCCGTCCCACTTAGTGGCTCACGAGCGGCATTTGGATCAATCGAGGCCCTAACGCACGTCCGCTCATCAGCGTCGGCGTACGTGACGAGAACAAACAGTGGCGGCCATGACGGCGACAGGGGGAGGGATTAAGTCAGACATGGCGGATCAAGCCCCCCGTGCAACATCTGGAGATGACTTGTCTCCGACGGTCATCGCACTCGGGCCCTTTAGAGCAGCTCCGCCCGTTGAATCTCCACCGCGGCGTCCCTGTCTGCTCCGCTCACATTCTTCAGGATGAGTGCGTAGAGGCGTGATGGACAAACAAATGAGATTGGTCATCACCCCCGCCCCTTTCATCAAAACATGACACATATGTTGTAATCTCTAATTATCCCGGATGGATTTGTTTTTTTTTTCACGCCCATTTGTTACGCACGCGACCTCGCTCACTGGACACTTCATTAGGTACACCTGTCAGTTTAACCGTTTCTCGGACAGCGGTCACTACAGTGGACATCTTATGATGTTATCAGGTTGCAGGTTATCATTATTGGTGCATGAAAGGATTAAATGTTTTTTCAGATTTTTTTTTTTTAAGCTCTTTTAGATGGTGGGTCTGAAATGCATCAACTATGTATGATCAATCTCCAAAGTCATATGTGATGGCAATGAAACAGATCAGGACCCTGAAGGAAAAAAGGAATTAGTACAAAATAGATGTTATACTGTATGCAATGCTTAAAAAAAAAGGGGGGGACATCATGGCCTTTAAAAAGTCTCCCGACCGTCAACACGGTCTTTTGTTGCGTCCTTCTGACTACGGCGTCCTTTGTCACCGGAACAAACACTTTGGTACGCCGCTATGTTTATCTTCATTTCCACACCGCAAATGAGAGAGAACAAGAGGAAAACATCGTGTTGTGACGCTAACCTGTTTTCCCTTCATCCAGTTGTTACCTGCATCTCATTACAAGCAGGCTGGAGGGTGCTTGTATGAGATCATTGTGCCCCTGGGTCTCAATAGTCTATTCAGGGAAGCGAGGGCGAGGGTTTTTTCTCATTGGAGAGCCCCTCCAGATGGGGCCAAAGTTCACCTGAGCCGCAAGACCCTCGACATAATTAGCGATACTGTTCATTTGAATCCAAATGAACGCTCAGGCAACAGTTGTGCTTGGAATTAGCGTTGTCACGACCTTGACCGCCACCGCGATAGTCTCGGTGTACCACAGATAGCCCAGCTCTCACTGTCCGTGCTCATGGAACCGTTTTGTCTGAGCTTTTGTCTGCAGGCATAATCCTGAAAATCCTCCGGTGTCACAATGAATTTGTTTTCCCAGTCTGACCAGCGGACATCGGCTTTCCAACAAGCTGTGGAAAACATGTTTCGTTGCTGGTTTGTGGTTCCACTATCAAAAGTTTTAAGCTGGGTTTTCAGCGGCCGGACTTGGCGTGGTGAGGGTGTGATGTCAACAAGTCCGCCTGTGGCTGTGTATTTGAGGCCTGGTTTTAAGAATAAGAGTGTGGGGGCTTTAAAAAAAAAAGGGCTTGTTTTTCCCTACCAAACTCATACATGCATGCCGTCAGCATGCACACGGTGGTCCCCCCCACCCCCGAGACTCCCTGTGATCTAGTTTACGCTGTCCTCGTGACGCTGCTTTTTATAGGCCTGCCGTCCGCTCGCTTGGGGAGCAGGCCCACATCGGCCCGATACCTCAGCGCGTTCAATTTCAGAAGCGTCAGAGCAGAGGGTCATATTGGAGGGGAGAAAGCAGAGGGGGAAGCGATGGCAGGGTGGGGCGGGTGGGCATAATGCGTAGTAATCTCCGCGCTCCAATCGCTGGCTCACATGAGGAAGTCACATACGATTATTACATAAGCGATGTCAAGCGGGCTGGTTTTTAAGGCTGGAGAATTACTCGAGTGTGTTTGTGTCAGGGCTGCCATCATGGCCACCGGCCCGGGTGGTAAACATCATATTTTGTATTTGTGTTTGGTGCTTGTACGTAAGGGGACGTTGTGTACTGTATGACACCAAATTTTGCACAGTAACAATCATGATATGATGTAGCCCATCGTGAAACAATTCTAATGCAATATTACTGTCATGGGAAAACATTTGACAAAATACAAATGATCACAAATGAATTTATCATTACATCCCTTGGAATAATTTGATGTAATAATCTATCATATTTTAAATAGCAAAATATTTGTGTAGAATTTCATTTCTAATTTATCTTATCAAAATGTATCCATGTTTCTAAATAATACACACATACCCTGTAATTCGCGTCCTATGCAGGGTCGCCTCTATCATATCTAATAATAGCCAAAAATTAATTGACAATTTTAAATGTCCAAATAGCTTTTTTAATTTTATAATTCTAATCTAATAATAACATATTTAAAATTTCCAATAGATGTATAGTTTCTAAACAAATTAATGGTGTATTTTTAATTTATGAAATTTAAAGCATCAAAAATCGTATTTAAAATACCAAATATTCAAACCATTTTTAAAAATAATTGTACATGCATTTTTATATATTTTTATTATAATTAGTGTCCTCAACGCGGCCACATCTGGCGTCCGTCTCATCCATCTCGGGCTCCCATGGAAGGTTGATGGCAGTTGTCAGCTGGCACAAGGCCCCCCCCGGCTGGTTCACCTTGCCAGGGGGCGGGGGGATAAATTTGACCATGGGGGGCTTGCTTTGGAGCGGGTGTGGTCGCAAGGAAGCCCTTTTGATAATCCCTGATCGTGAGGAGAAAGAAGACGGGAAACACACACTCGTGTTAATGTAATCAGCGGTGTCACACTCCGTTGATGGGCGGGAAGGAGATCCAGGGATGAAATATGGGATGGTAAACAGGAAGTTGGAGGTCAGAGGCTCGCGTGGGATGTCACAACCGAGGGAGGTGATTGCGTGGTGGCGGTGTTGTTTCGTGGCGCGGTTCCACCAGTGCGGCCTCTGTTTTGGCAACACTCACACGCCGCTTCCCCCGCTCCGCTCTCTTCCCGTCATGAGGTGCATGCACAAAGGTTCATGTCATGGCCAAGGTTGGTTGGCTGGCTCGCTGTGCGCTAAGCCGTGCGTGCTTGCCGTTTTTATTAAATCCAACATGTTTCCTGGAGGTGGCAGCCTCAGCTGTCCACGGTGCGGAATGCAAAGCTATGTTAGCTGATAAATCCACACATTCCTTCCATTCATCTCTGTAAAGTATGTGAAGCGACTTGCTAAAAATAATGAACTCTTTTCCACCATTACAGTTTTTCTTGTGGTGTTTTTTTTACTTCTTCAAGGCATGACTAAAATGCCGCCACGTGACACACTTTGGAATCCAACATCAGTTGCCACTCACCCACTCACTAAGGAGTTGTGCGTTAGCGGTTATCTAGCACAGTTGCCACATGCAGCTAGCTAGCTTGCTAAAGTCAGTTGCCACATGCAGCTAGCTAGCTTGCTAAAGTATGGTTTTTGTCATGATTTGGAAGCCTCATTAGCAATGAATTGAATGATTCAAATTGGGCAGGATTGTTAACATCACTCTTCTCTTTGGTGTGCCAATTTTACAAGTTATACAGTATTTATTCTCACTTTACAGGGACTTTAAACTCATGGCTAGCAAGTTCAGACAATGCTCACGTTTGCTCAATGTTAAAAATAATTCAAAATCGTAATGACGACAGACTTTTTAGACATACTGGCATCTGATTTGCTATGCATTTGTTTTTGACGTGCATATGTGTGTTTGTATACGATGTTTGCAGATTCGGCGCAGGAGACCGACACCGGCCACCCTCTTCAGAGTAGCCGACCATACATCGCCCGAGGACGACCAGTCGAGCCATCAGGTAAAGGTGAAGTCCACCCTTTTTATACAGTTGCTTCTTTGTTTCATCTTTTCAATTCAATTCGAGTCCCTCGATTGAATACAAATTGTATTATTATTTTGTTTAAAGTATTTGTCTTTTAAATGTCTACTTGTCCCACAGTGGGTCGTTGGGGACAACGGCGTCCTCAAACCAAAGCGAGTCAATCCAAACGTGTACCAGCCTCCATCACTTAAAGGTCAGTGCAAAAGTGCGTGCATATACGTGTGTGTGTGTGTGTGTGTGTGTGTGTGTGTGTGTGTGTGTGTGTGTGTGTGTGTGTGTGTGTGTGTGTGTGTGTGTGACTTAACCTTGTGTTTTTATACCTTTTATTTGTTTTCCTGCCACGCTTCACAATGCATACAAACAAGGTCTTGAAATGCTTTATTGTATCATACAAGTTGGTCCAAAAGCAGGTATACACTTTTTAAATGAACTCATTCAAGGAAGGAAGGCAAGAAAGGCGAGGGTCAGGAAGGCTGCTCTGAATTGAGAATGGAAGGTAGGATGGAAGGAAGCATTGAGGCAAGAATGATGAAAGGTTTGAAAAAAGGAAGAATGAAAGGATGAAGGACGGGAGCAAGGAAGATAGGAAGGAAAGATGAATCGAAGTAGGGAAAGCCAGTCAAGGCGGAAGACAAGAAGGAAGGAAAGAAAGAACGGAGTAAGGCAGGATGAAGGAAGGAAAGAAGGGAGGAATGAAGGTTGTATGAAGGAAACAGACAAATAGAATGAAGGAAACAAGGCTATAGGAAAGGAAGGAAGCAAGGGGTGTCAGAAAGATGGATGTAGGAGGGAAAAGAAGGGGGGGAGGAGGTCGGGAAGGATGAACGTTATGATAAAAGCAAGGAAGGAATCATGGTTGTGTCAGAAAGGGAGTAAGGAAGGTAGGAATGAAAGATGGATGAATGGAAGGATTGAAACATGGACGGGAGGAAGGAAGGAAGGAAGGAAGGAAGGAAGGAAGGAAGAGGCTTACCACCACTTGTAGGATCTCCACAAACAAACCCACAGCCAGACTAAAGCCCAAATTTGAAACCTTAACTACCTTACCCCAGGCTACAAACCTTATTTTGAAACCCTACTTCGAAGTCACATGATTAAACCGCGTCTCATAAATGTAAGCGTAACGGATAGCATAAGTGCAGATCTAATATAGATTGACATGTTTGAGCTAGTTTTGGCCCACCCGTTGACAACGCCGATTGTGTGCCGCGCAATTGTTTTGAGGTTTGAACGTGACATCATCTTGTGTGTGATTGTGCCACGGGAAAAGCGGGCGGGGGATTAGAGCAGGACAGCTGTGAGTGTGAGTGTGGATCATCCTGGATTACGGTCGGTTGTGTGTACAGCTGTGCTACACACACACACACACACACACACACACACACACACACACACACACACACATTGCAAATGCATACATTGACACAAAGACCCTTTTGTGCTCTTATGCACGAGGTGTCCAAAGTGCTCACCGATGTTCTATTTCGACAAGACGTCTTCGCACCTGCATCGCATTACGTGTCCATTGAGAGCGCAGGGCCGCGCATGTCATGCCAAGGTTGCATAAGCGGCCTTCTACCAGAATAGGTGACCCGATGCGGCGCCCGGGTGCGCGTCCCACACGGTATGAAGGAGAGAAGAGGATGGGGTGGCGAGGTGACGCAGAGGAATTGAGAGAGGTGATGTTATGAAAGAGAGGAGGGTGAGTCGGCGTAGCAAAGAAAGCCGAGGAGAGACGCGAACGAACCCAAATGGCGGTAAACCTCAGCGCGGGGTAGTTGGGATGAAAATGGCGGGAAGAACTCATGACACTGAAATTGCGAAAAATAAGAGATTGATCAAAATGGGCACGTGAGGAACAGAATTTGGACGCCGATGCAGACAGAAGACGGAAGTGGAAAAACAGAGTCTCAATATACAAAAATACAACAGCGAGCATGGCTGGATGCAGACCACATAAATACCAAATAACTACAGAAAGCAACTCTCATTTTAAGTGAACTAAGAGCTTGGCTCTCTTTATTTAAGTAAATATGCCAGCGTTAGCCAGAAGGCTAATTTTTATCTTGAGTCCCAAGACAGGCAATCAATGTCACCCTAAAAGAATAACAATAAAATACAAAGCAATAACAATACGTTTACTAAGAGCACCATGAGGCTAAAATGTACATTAGTCGCAACTGATCGACAATTACATGAACATACACAAAAACATGAAAAGATTCACAAAGCCAGGTGCCAGCAAAAAGTTTTGACTCGATTATTGAATGCCAGCTTCAAAGAGCCGTACGCTAACGTGTCGTCGGGCGTGGCAGTGATTCTCACTTGCCACGTGTTTTCCTCGACTATTTTCTCATATTTTGGAAATTTGCAACCTCCGGGATTTAAGTTTGACTCCTGAGACTCCGCTCTGCTGTCAAAACACAACAGACACATCCGTTTTCAGACAATTGTTGAACAATGTGCGTAAGACAACGACACCATTTTGTTTGGAGGAAACAGAAGGAGCTGAAGCGTGGTCAAAACAAAACACCAGACCCCTGTTATCCTTGTGTTTGTGTGCCGTCATCTCCCCGTGTGTTTGTGTGTGTACGCGTGTGTGTGCGTGCGTGTGTATGTGCGTGTGTGCGTATGCATAGCTGTGCAGAAGATGGCCGAGGCGCACATGCAGAACCTCGGCGCCCACCCTCCTCTGGAGGACCCTCGTGAGGGCGAGGAGGATGACGACCCGGAAAAAGCTGCTGGTGAGGAGGAGGCTTTCGTTCCACCGTCAAACTGGAGCCGCCAACCACTGCGCTGCACACGTTCTTGTTTGTAGTTACTCTAAAAGGAAGAATACACCCGCTAGATTCTACCGTCAGGTCAGTTTTAACATGTATGACAAAGCAAAAGTGCAAACTCCACCTTTCAGGAAAAGAAAGAAGGAAAAGCAGCCAACTATCACTTTAAAGCTCTTATAAGTTAATCACAAGCGATTGCCTCGTGTGTTACACTCCAGGCCTCTTGGGGGCAGTATAGTACTCATCTGTCTACTTCTTACATAGGGACGAAACCCCCACCATCAAATTAATATAAGTTCCCAAATAAATCATCATGTGATGAGGTAATGCTTCACATTTGATAAGGGAAAGTGTACGACTTCTTTTCTCATTTACTTTATGGGAAAAAAGGACTCACTAGCTGTTTCTGTTGCTAGCGTAGCATGTTTGTAGCATGAGCGAATGCCTCATATTTGATACTGCAAGCCTTTAGGACTAGTAGCTAATTGAAGCCTCGAAAAGTAATAATAGCACAATTTGATGACATGAGACAACCCAGGCTTAAAGGGGGCGACATAAATGTTTGAATTCTTTTTAAGGGGCAAAGAAAGCGCCTGATAGCTAAAGGATGTCAGTCTAGCTCGTCTCGCAAACTACAGTATTGACCAGTGGGGTGTATTCTTTCTTTGGGTTTGTTTATTCTGCCTGTTCCAGATCATTCTGTGTTTCCATCGCTGTCAAAAACATCCCCAAGGTTTATTCGAAAATGTAAAAAAAAAAAATCTTCCCCTCCATGCTTAGACCACCAGGAAACGGCGACCGGCGACCAGTCGGAAGCGGCTCTCGGCGCCCAGGAGACAGATAAGCTGATCCAAGCAGCGCAGGTGGAGGGGGAGGAGGAGAGTGAGGACGGGGGAGAAGGACGGGGGACGACGGCAGAGAGCAATAACTGAGGAAACCTTCATTTTGATTACCAACCAAAAGGACAGCACATACCACTTGCCTCCCTTTTACTTCGAAAGCCGAGGTCAGTGTGACTTGGTAAAGAACGTTGCAAGCACTAACCTTTTACCCACCAACACTAAATTGGCCTCCTTAAACCAAAATAAAGCTTCAGTATGTCGGTCCCAGGATGTGTTTTTTGGGGCGTTGTTTGTTTTTCAAAATTCTTAATTGTCTTTCAAGTGTTAAAAGAAGTGTTAAAAATACATTACAGTTTGTCAGTCAGCATCAAGATCTGTGCATGTGGAGCATGCAGCAAACAGATCGTCAAACAGAAACATTGTGGAGGCCCACTGGCTAATCTGAACACATTCTGACCTCTGGTGACTGGCTAATTTGAGGTTCCACTGTACAGTATTTTGAAGAGTCTCGTCACCACTTAATTTGCGGATACTGCCATCTAGTGGATACTAGTAATGAAAATTTATCAGTTAGAATTGAACCCCCTTCTGTTTTTTTTTTTTTTTTTTTTTTTAAATCAGTAATTTTAATGCAATGAGAAATACCAAAAAAAAAAAAAAACACACTTAGTGTAGTCTCAATGACACACTAAAGTTGTGTACTTTTAGCATAGCGAGGGTGGAGTTACCTTTTTGGTAACGGACCTTTCAAGGGCAAAGCTACCTCGCGTGTTCTGCTGGACGCATCAAATCTTTTGGCTCCTCTTCTATTCATTCTTTTAACGTCACCAGACAGGTTTGGAATTCAGCGTTTTATAGAAACAGTTGCCGCAGTTACCATTTGACTGACATTTAAAACAAATTTATTTCCCACCACCATCCCCCACTGTATTTTTGCTTTGCGCTGATGTTTGTAAAAAAATAAAAAATAAAAATAAATAATCTACTGACTGTGATGAGCAACTCATGTATTTAGACTTGATTTTCTCCTCCTTGCTTTCCCCTCTCCTCTACTCTTCTCCGGTCCAAGGGATGCCTGAGCTCACCGCTTTTTATTTTTATTGTTTTCTGTTGGCTCATTTTTAAATGTGTTTGCTGGTGTTTGTTTTCAAATGACCAACTTTCAAGAACAATGTCTGAATAAAACTTTTTTTCCCCTCATTGCTATTGTCTTGTTTGCAATGTCTCAAACACTTTATGAGGATGTCCACAAGGTCTGGACGCATGTACATTTGTTAGAAATTCAAATTTCACCATTTTTGGCTGCCTTTCCAGCAGCTCCTATTTATTTTGTTCTTCTACTTCTTCCTCTCATAACTTTGCTGCTGTGAAGTGGGAATTTCTCCAATTGTGAGACTATTCAAGGTTTTCTTGTTTTATTCCATTAGACTATTGACAAAAAATATTAAAGAAGATAAAAAACAAAGTGTTGCATGCACAAAATAAATAAATGTTTCAGAAAACTGTACACAGTATAAATATAAGTTGCATATATGCATCTTATGCATACATAAGTTGGCTACACATTAGCTCGCTCCTTAAAGCTCGTGGTTAAGTGTTATTTTACCCAGTACACTTTTAGCTTACATAAAGTACTTAAAAATGAATTATTACTGTATATTTAATGATAAAATATTTAGAGCCACATTTAAATACAGTAGCTTACTCCTTTATACGTAAGTACTTATAGCTGTTCGTTATGTATTTGTTTTAGCACGAGATTGTTCTTAGTGGATATAACGTCACATAATTATTAGAATATTTATTTAAAAAATAAAAACGGCAAAAGAAATAATACAAAAAGATCTGAACTGTATGCGGTTAATTTTTCGTTGCAGTACTGTGTGCCGCCTAAACAGGAAGTGGTTTGACGATGTTTCTCTCGACGTTGTTTTCCCTACGACTGTCGTGGTCACATGATCTTTGTATTTGCAGTTTCGGTTACTTTTCATCAATTCAACAAGTTCCTGCCTGTCAAATTAAATTGTCCAGTGATTTTTTTTTAATGCGCAGGTGACATTTTCAAGACCTTTCCTATAAATTTGTTTAATATCATGTTTGATCGAGTCAACATTCGTCTTGCCACGAAATTGTGTTAATTCACTATATTAGGATAATTAACAAAGCACATGCAGTGAAGTTGTGTTTACACGTATCACATAACCGCACAAACACCCTGAGAAAACAACATTCTTGCTTGTGAAAAATATTTCATAAAAATGACAAGCCGACTCCGCGCAAGCGCATACGGACGAGATGATCACGTGATTGACCGTAAAACGCAGAGGATGCGGGGATCTATGTTTCTTTTTCATTTGTCCTCTTCGGAAGGTCCTCAGACTGGCAGGAAAACTTGCCATTGCGATGATGAAGCGATAAAACAAGTAAGTTAAAAACATGAACTATTGTCATTTTAATGAAAGCGTGAGGCGAAAATCTCTGTGAACGGTGTTTACTCGCGACCTGGCTTGAAATCGTTGAACGTTATACACACAGCGATATAAAGGAGGAAGGTAAATTAGCCTTTGTGAGCTAACTGGGGGCAGCTAGCAGCTGTAACACAGCTGCTAAATAACTTGAGTGTTTGTCTAAAATATTTTATAAAATATTATGTATTCCCTTTATCAATATTGAGTTGTATTTTGTTCTGTTAGCTGTCTTCCCTTACATTACAATTCCTTACAACTTACAATTAGTGCAGTGCACAAAATGATGATTGTCGCTGACGTGTTGGTGATTTTTAATGCCATAAATAGGCTTACTTTTACATGTTAAGTTAATATAATAAATAAAATGGGGTGTGATGTATTACAATGTTAGCTGTGGAGCGATGACTCATGGTGGAGACTTGTTTACCTCAAGACACAATTGAAACTGAGATTGTGATTCATTGTTTGGCAACGTTCGCCATTAGTGGCAGAATTATAACGCATACTAAATATAAACTAGCACACCTTAACTCTGATGAAAAGCTGTCATTATTAAAACATGGTTTTATTATTATAATTTATTTTCAATCTTTGTATCAAATCACTTTTTTAGGGTACAATTTGTGTACAACAAAAATATCAGCTGACATGTTTTCAGCCTGTTTGTGTCAGCTTCATCTTATTGGACAGGAAATAAATAGACAAAAGTACCTGGACATGCGGCCGTTATTCAGGGAAGATTTTTTTTTATTGGTTCCTTTTTTCGTTGCTGATCTGACCAAGCACACGTTTTCATGGACCTTGCTTGGAAACAGAAAAGAGAACTTACCCCAAACTTTAACCGCAAAGTGTACATTTGTTCATTGTCTAAAGTAAAAGAGTTCACTGTGACACCTTCACAAAATTCTTCCAAACAAGTGTAACGTTTACGTAAGTCATTAAGTCAGAAGTTACCTTTCAACAATAATGTAAACAAATCTGTGGCTCCTTTTACATGTTTCATGAAAAAAATGATGACTGCGCTTCTTAGTCACTGGACTTTCCTTGACACTACATAAATACAAATCTATACATAAAAAATGCCGACTGACCAACCAAAAAGAAAGCTTTTTTTTTCCCCCGAAAATTGCAGCCTTTGTGATTTGAAAATTGCATTCCACTACATTTAGATGTTGATTTAAATTGAAATTTGCTGTTATTGTGCTCAATACAACACTTGCCAATTTTTTGTATGTGTGTGTTTTGAGGTCGTGCGGGCAAAATGCCGGGCGCAGAGTACGGGGAGCTAGGGGGCAGCCTGCCCGCCATCGCCTCTCTGAACGCGTCATACTCCACGTCGCTGCCGTCCCCGTACCTGCTGCTGACGCCACCCGCCGAGCGCAAGCTCATCTCGGACGTGCGACGCACCTTCTGCCTTTTTGTTACCTTCGACCTGCTCTTCATCTCGCTGTTGTGGATCATCGAGCTGAATGTGAGAGACCTCTTGTTGTTTTTTTTTGTTTATTTTTGGGAGGCGGGGGGCATGTGAAGTTTGACTAATGCGTCCACGTGGGCTCGCGATACAGATCTCCAGCACCATCTGGGACAGCTTGGAAAAGGAGGTCATCCACTACAACTTTAGGTCTTCCTTTTTTGACATCTGTGTAAGTAATCAGCGATTATTTTTACAGTAAAATCTTGTTGCACTCAGAGTCATCGACTCGGTCTAGTCCGGTGGGTCTTGAATTTTTTACACCAAGTATTGCCTGGGGAAAAACAGTTGCATAGTAGACCTAAGTGTTCATCAAAAGTAAAGAGTGGTTTTATGCCTAAAAAGTATAATTATTGTTCTTGGAAGACATTAACATTTTGCACATTTTGGACAATGATTCTTTTGCAGACCACTAGAGGGAGCCCCAGAATCACCGATCACGCGGCTCGTGGAATGTAACAGGAAAATTAAAATCACTGAAACTTCTCCAAGCATTTTAGGGATGGATGGGAAGCCACAACACGCTTGATAACTTACCGATTTTTGCAAGCATCTGTTTGCCAAATCAGTTTTTGCAAAACCTCAATACAAAATATGCTTGTGAGGTGCAGGTATTATTTGTATCCGCTTGGGCTCGCTATCCTCACATTCTACACTGCGGTATCCGTTTTGGTGTATCTTTCGAGTGAGCGAATCACTGTGAGAAGTGAAAATCTTCACACATTGTCCCATTCGTCGCGCTTAAAATGAGGAATCAAAAATTTACTTTGAGGCAGAAATGTTTTTGTCGACTAATTTTTGTCAATGACCAAAGTCAGCCGACTTTTTTTTCTCCAGCTCATATCATGTCTCCTTCCCGTTCACAGCTCCTGGCGCTGTTCCGTTTCCTGTGCCTGCAGGTGGGCTACGCCGCCTTTCGGTTGCGGCACTGGTGGGTAATAGCGGTGAGTCACTTTGGAATATTTGACAAAATACCCCACCCCTCAAAAAAAAAAATTCCCAAATTTGAGGATGTAAGACCTGCAAAATAAACACCCCGCAGGTCACCACCCTCGTGACCAGCGTCTTTCTCGTGGTGAAGGTCATCGTGTCAAACGTGAGTGCCGCTACTTCTTCTTCTGTGTGTGTGCTTGTGTGTGTTGCATAAAAAAAAATTCCCAATTTTGAGGATGTAAGACTTGCAAAATAAACACCCCGCAGGTCACTACCCTCGTGACCAGCGTCTTCCTCGTGGTGAAGGTCATCGTGTCAAACGTGAGTGCCGCTACTTCTTCTTCTGTGTGTGTGCTGTGTGTTGCATCATACAGGTTTGTCAGTTTCCACCTCATAAACGTTTTCGCTTCTGTGCGAGTGCCTGGAAACGTTGCAGACGACGGGCTTGCGTTTAGTCACGATTTATTGCGAGCTGCATCACCCGCAATGAGGAACTTGCACTACTTTTCACCTTGTGACCCATCGACATTGCAGTCCAGCATGTCCATTGTGACCACCCCGCTTTGTGTTTGTCCAGCTTCTCTCCCAGAATGCATTTGGCTATGTGCTGCCCATCACCTCCTTTGTGGTGGCCTGGCTGGAGACCTGGTTCCTGGACTTCAAGGTTCTCCCGCAGGAGGCGGACGACGAGCGAGGTGGATGGCGGCCACCTGACGGAAAACATACCCCTCCAAAAAAAACCCAATCATTTTGAGGTTTGAACCTTTTTTTGTCCTCAGCTTACCTCGCAGCAGTGAATGCGGCCTGTGAGCGCGCCCCGGTCATGTACCCCCGCGCCCTGTCTGACGGACAATTCTATTCCCCGCCCGAATCGGTCGCAGGTAATGCAATCTAAGCTTGTCTTTCCACCTCGTACTGTATTTGCTGAGTCTCTTTACCCTCCTGCAGGCTCCGAGGAAGATCTCGATGAAGAAGGTCTCGGCCGGCGCGCCGTCACTGCTCAGGTACCCCAAATGAGATCCTGTCCTCGCCATCAACGCGAGACCTTCTCTGAATTTTCCTCTCCTCTCACCGCAGGAGAAGGAGTTTGTTCGACAAGGACGCGAGGCCATGACCATTGTGGAGCAGATCCTCACTCAGGAAGAAAACTGGAAGTTTGAGAAGAACAACGTGAGCACTTCCTGCATGCTTGGCCGCTTCAAAATCCATTTTCTGTAGGGCTTGTCCTCAATAGGGTCACAGGTAACATGAATCTATCCCAGCTGACTTTGGGCAAGAGGCGGGCACACCGTGGCCTAGTTCGACTAGCATTTACGCACACGTTCACGGTTTAAAATCTTGTTGAGCAAAAAAAAAAAAAAGAAAAAAAAAAGCATACAGTCTTAAAAGAGGATGCGTTCGTCATACTTCGTGAATCACTCAGTCAAGCTTAACTGTAAGCGTTTGTTTCGTGCATAACTTCCTGTTTAAAGTTGTTCATACCAACACATGAACTCTTCCAGCAATGCAGAACTTAACTCTGTTCATGTTCCACCACTTCGTTTTGCATCTTTATTCCTTATCGGGGCCGTAAACCGAATCGAATTGAGTCTCTTTACCTCGGGCAGTAAATCGGGCGGGAGCAGAATAGAGTTTTCAAATCGTAAAGGCTACATTTTGGGGCTAGGGAGGAACTTTTGTAAGTTAACAACTCCAATTGAAGTTGATCAACTGTCTTTCATATTAATTCATCTTTCATTTGCGCTTATATTGGCGTAAGCCTAACCTATAAAACCAACATTTTTTTTATGTATCATCAATCTGATATTGATATTGCTTGTGTTTAAGTAGCTGGGAAGAGGACCTTGAAAGCATCATCGCTTAATAAATCACAATCCCGCTATTGACAGGAAAAAAACATTATTTTCATAATCATCCAGCCATAGTCTTCATCAAATGCTAAATAATTGTGCTAAGCTACCTAGTCGCAGAGGATTTTTCTTCAGTAGCTTTTGTTTTCATAATCACTTGCCGAAAAAAAGTGTAGGGGGGCGGGGAGTTTTTCTTTTTTTTTTTTCTTTTTTTTGCGCACTGATAAACAAAGAACTCCCAAACATGAGTCTTCACTATACTTTTAACTTGCATGTGTTTCATGTTTTGTTTCAGGACGCGGGCGACTCCGTCTACACCCTGGAGATTCCATTCCACGGGAAGACGTTCATCCTCAAAGTGAGAGAGCAGCCTTTGCCATGACATCGTTCCACTTTTGTTGTCTTGATTTGCATTGACGGTTCACGTTCAACTCCTTTTAAATTGTACAAAACCATGATTGTCACCGGTCATCGTTGTTAGGGTGAGCCTGCCACCGTTGCCAAAGCGGTCGCATCTTTTTTGCTTGAATCAATTGGCCGTACCAACGACTACACTGAAACTGAAATTCTATCCAGTCTATTTTTGTTCAACAAATGTACTATGGAAAACATTCAACAGAGAGCGCTGTGCTGCCAGCCAGCTTTAGGCTTGTGAGTCCGATGGTCTGACGGGATAGCTGAGACGCTATAACCGCAAACTAACTCCCCAGTAGATGCGCAGGGACAATGTGGCTATTGTTGATTCTGTGGGAGCACTGGATCGTGTCCACACGGGGTTACCACTTTGTTTGCTGATCATAAACAAGCGTGCGAAAAGGGACTTTTGAGCATCACATCAGCTCTGCATAGTTCTGACTGGACTTCATCATGTGAGAAGAGAATCTTTGATTTATACGCATCCATTTTATTCCCATTGTTAGCGATGACGTTGAGCTGTAAAACTGAAGAATGTATTTGACCAACTTTAAGTTCTCACCGAAATGTAACCGTCAATATGATCCAAAAGTTGAAGAATCTTGTCAGCCAACATCAGCTTGGACGTGACATTTCAAGATGGTCTAAAAGTAGAAGCGATAATTTAACAAAACAATTTTTTTTTTTAATTGCTCAAAATAAAAATGAGATTTTGAAATGAAATTTCAAGGCGATCCAAAATGCGGTCCAAAAGTCCAACAAGCACATACATGGACAACTGAGATTATTTTGATGTGAAATTTCAAGGAACTGTAAGAGTAAAAAAAGGATCAAATCCAATAAGCCATTTTTTTCTGTATGTGTATATTTATAGTTCCAATTTCCCACACATCTCAAATGCAGCAAAGGAGCCGAAACGAAGCATTTTTCCTTTAATTTCAAAAGATTTATTTTTTTTAAACGTGTCCCTGCATCCCAACTACTTTATTCCCTACCTTTACCGATGACAATAACCAGTCAGAACTCCGGTTTCGTATCAGAATGTTGTTTTCGCTTTTGACTTGCGATGTTCAAGAAAACAGAATGTTCCGAATGTGAGCCAAAACGCCCCAGGGCGACATCCTACAAGACTATAAAGACTTCTTCCAAATGCGGCATGAGACTATTTTACAATTTAACCTTTTATGATGTACTCAATGAAATGTATTACCAACCGTTCTCATAAATTATTATTATTGTATTATTATCATTTATAATGATGACATTAGGAATGATTTTTCTCACCGTTGCCTCGGGAGGAATTACTTGTTTCCGGTGACAGTGAGCATCCCAAGTAGTCACCAAGCAGCGTTTTACTTGCGCTCTCACTGCAGAATTTGACGCTCTTTGTGGTGGTCTTTGGCATGCTTGGTGATGTCGCCATTTTGTGCTCTTGACAGGCCTTCATGCAGTGTTCAGCTGAGCTGGTATACCAGGAGGTCATTTTGCAGCCCGAGAAGATGGTCCTGTGGAACAGAACCGTGTCTGCTTGCCAGGTGAGCGTTGACCAGTTGTGTCACTATTCCCCTCGACTTCACATGTACTTCCAGATGGTAAAAGTCCAAAGCAGTCTGACTGCATAACCGCAAACGCAAAACATTTTTGTTTTGCGTTTGTTCATGATGGTGTTTTTTTTTTTTTTTTTTTTTCGTCTCCTCAGATCCTGCAGCGGGTGGACGACAACACGCTGGTGACGTATGACGTCTCGGCTGGGGCAGCCGGCGGAGTGGTGTCTGCCCGGTATCTAGCCGCCATCTTGGCTCGCTACTCCTTAACCTTCTCTGTGTTGTACTAATCGTGTTTTGTCCACACAGGGACTTTGTCAATGTCCGACGGGTAGAACGTAAACGAGATTGCTACCTTTCTGCCGGCATGGCCACCGATCATGACGCCAAAGCACCCTGTGGACGTTATGTTAGGTCAGAAAAATAAGCAACAGGATCAGTCTCCCCCCCCCCCACACCCCCGCGACATTTTCGTGTGATTTTTGCTCAATAGGGGAGAGAACGGTCCCGGCGGATTTGTGGTCCTTAAATCCAGCAGCAACCCGTCCGTCTGCACCTTCATTTGGATCCTCAACACGGACCTCAAGGTGAGGAGAACTGAATGATGCAAACGAGTGGAACGGCTTTCATGGACAGTTTATCAACAAAAGCAATTGGACACTCCTTTTTTTTTAAATTTGTACTTAGTTTTCAAATCAATCAGTTTGGGTGAGAGGAAATTTTCCCCAAGTATGCGTTTCCAACAGGAGTTGGTTCAAATATTATAGCATGTATTTTCTTCACAGCTCTGTAAAATAAATGTTCTAAATCCAATAATCTTAAAAGCTAAAATTCACTGCCAGCGATTTTGTGGTGTGCACACAACAATCCATAAATTGTGCTCGGAATATTGTGGTGTGGAAGAATGCATGAGATTGGTTTAAAATCCGATCAGACACACTGTTAAATGTTGTAGAAAGTCTTCCCAGAAGACTGGAGTGAGGAAGGAGAATATATCCCAACACTTTTGCCCATATAATTCAAACTCTTTTGAAAAACTAAATGGACCCTGGATTTTCCTCTCAGGGTCGACTACCACGCTACCTCATCCACCAGAGTCTGGCCGCCACCATGTTTGAGTTCATGTCCCACCTGCGCCAGCGCATCGCCGAACTGCGGCCCGCCATGCGCTGCCCGCGCCAATACCACCCATGCTAGGAGCATGACCACCACGCAGACAGGGAGGCTGCGTCCCCGCGACTTGGATCCTCTTAAGCTGAGGATACGCGTTGCACGTGAGCACGCATTGGCCACTGCAAACAAAGTGGCTGTTAAGACTGAACTTTTTCTCTGAGCCTTATCTTCTTCTGCTTCCTTTTGGTCTGGTGCCTTCCCACTCAACATTTACCCTACTCGTCACATGAGGGAGACAGTAGCAGTCGAAGCTGATCTCCTTGCCTTAAGGTGTTAAAAAAAAAAAAAGAGAGAGAGAGAGAGAGAGACTAAATGGCTGCCAAATAGGGTTGCGACAGTGTGGAAATTTTCTGGTAAATTTCCATGGGAATTTAAGATGGAGAAGTAATATCATTTTTGGTCACATGAATTCCCATCTACTTTTGTTTCCAACTTTGAAAATACGGATTTTTGTCACCCTACGGCTTATCAATTTTTAATATCCAAGAGCTTGAGTTTTTTTGTCAATAATTCATGAAAAAAACTGTTGCTATTTTTTTTTTTTTTTTTTTTTTAACCCTTCTTCAAAATCCTTGCAAACATAGCGGCCGTCCTATATCACGCACACACTCTCCAAAACATCACCAAATAAGCCAGTTTGCTTAGCTACGCAAATATCAAAATTCCATACAAAAAGAATATCGATGAAATGTCCCCGCTATCGATTGTGGCTCACTTTCGGTGCAGTCCCAACCCAAAATGGCTGCTTTCAACCAAAATGACTGACTTCCTGTTCAAATTCAATCATGGGTCCTTGAGACTTTTTCCTTCGTCCCATTACGATTGACATGTCCACCAAATTTTATGTGGATTGGGTTTCCCCTCTCGTTTTCTGGAGGTGGAGGAGCTACTGAGTCGGAAAATTTGACAGCATGGCCCGCTCGCATTAGATGATGTAGAATACAGCACGTTAAATTTTGCGTTGCATATCAGCTTCTGTTTGGATTTTATTTGTGCAATTCCAAAGTTGCTTTTCATCAAGCCTCGGAATTTTTCCAAACGGGCAGCTTCAAATCAAAATGGCCGACTTGCTGTTCAATTTGAGAAGTGGGTCATTGAGACTTTTTTAGTGCGATCTGTTTGTATCGACATATCCACCCAATTTCATGTCAGTAGGTGAAACCTGATGACTGTGAAGCAGACACTGAACACGAGGCACCACGTACAAGAATAACCACCGAAGCTTGGTTCAAAAAAAAAAAAAAAATCCAGCTATTTCAGAAATGGAACAATTGTTAATTACTATATTACAAGTGTTTGGTGTGTGAATGACCAGGACAAGCTTAGCATAAGTACCAACGCTTGACGATCAATCTTTTTTTTTTAATAGAATTCAGCGTAGTGGACTTTTTAAAAGATGAAACCCACCCAATCTTTGTTCTTGGGTGTAGTTCTAAAAAAAAAAAATCAAATCATGACATGTGATGATCCAGCAAAAGGGAACAGATTGTTCTTTGCTCACATTCAGCGGCAAACATGTGAGTGCTGGAAAATGTCAGATGGGGGGGAATTGAGCCATGGAGGCATTTTCAGTGCCTTAAACTCTTTGCTTTGTCTCTTAAAGACCGTGCACTTGTTTCAACAATGTCACGCACATACATTATACTGTACTTGTGTTTATACAAACGTTCATTTGAAGTCATCATGACAAACTGACCAACTGTTTATTTTTTTTTTGTTTGTTTTTTAGGTAGTGTCTAATAAATTGATTTCATGTTATAAAGTCCTTTTCTTTCGCGGGCCACTACAGGCACTCCACTGGTCACAGTTTATAGAATTTGAACTTGAAATTGATTTTGAATGATAAAGATGGAAGTTAAAATGGGGGAAAAAAAAAAGAATCTCAATATGGTGCTTGACACATGGCCACCAATTAAAAGTTTTTAATCAGCCATGCCTTAAACTGAATGAGACAAAATGCTGCTTTTATTGCTTACTCTGCCATACGTTTCATCGAATACTTTGCACAAATCAAGTGACCAGAAGCATCATGGTTATCCACAATAAAGCCAATTGAGCTGACCGTGTAAGTCACATGCAGACTCTGGGGTCCTGAGGGCTAAATTGTGCTGGTTGAGAGACAATTTTATCGCGACCAAGGCGAAAAGAGGTGTTGTGCTTTGACTGAGGCGAGGTGGTGGGGGGGATGTTCGTCCCACTCACATGACATGGCTGTGACCGTGTGCCGGGGCGATGGCTGTCGTATGTGTGAGGTTGCCTGTGTGAGTTGACTCCTCGAGAGGCAGCAGACCTTCCCTGGCCTCCGCCGTAGCATCTTGAAAGATGGGAAGCCGAATATGAGGTAACTTAAAAAAAAAAAAGCTGTACAGGTACTGACTTTTTTCCATGTTTACTCACTTTTTTTTCTCCCACCCTTCTAGGATGTGAGAGTGAAAGTAAGGTGAAAGTCATCCTCAGGCATTCAGGACAAGAAGTGCTGGGATATTCCGAACTTGATCCTCCATGGGCTCGGCGTTCTTCAAGTTGTGCTGCTGCTGCTGCTGTGCCGCCGAGGACGACGATGAGAAGCAGCCCTTAGTGGAGTAAAAACACTCTTCCAATACCCTCATGTTTTTTGTCTCTGCATGCGGTGGTAGGAATTCGGCCTCGGTTGCCTAAAATACAGAAATTTGCTGCCTTATTGTCGTGCCAGTTCAAATATTTTTTTTCCACATATTTCGATCGTTTATAAACTTTTAAATATTTTTACTAGCTGTAATAATGATACTACAAAATGTCCACTGTACCTCCAAGGACTCCGGATCCATTGGAGTATTTTAACCGCGAGGTGCAGAAGCGCCGTGACGAGGAGGCCAACTTGTGGAGCGAGCCGGGCGACCCCAGCCACTCGGAGCGGGATGACGACAGGGCGCTTTACTCATTGCTGCAAGCCCGCAACAAGACCCGCATGGGATCCACGGTACATCCAAAAAAAAAAAAATGAAAGTGAGGCAGGATGAAGGAGCTGTGCGGTCTTGTCCTTTAAAGGGCTACCGCCGCCTGAGCGTGGACATCGAGGCCATGCGAGACACACGTAGGGAAGTCCGGGACAAGTGGAGGACCATCTTGGAGAACCTTGGTGAGTCCCATCTTTTCTCTTCAGAACCGCATGTTCACTAGTTTTGTGTAAAGTGCAGTGGTGCTTTGAAGTACAAGTGACCCAACGCGAGAGGATACAAGCCAATACGCCAACAGGCAATCACAAACTTGAGATACTAACTGGACATTTTAAATACACAAAAGTATAAAACTTGTGTCTTGAAACAACTCCATAGATTTGAACACAGTGGATGGGTGGTGAGTTTGGGAGTTGGGCCTTCAGTAGGGACAGAAGTAACTTAATCCACTTTACATCATCGCAATAAAAATGTACAAAAATGCGATATCACACTGCATGGCATTGAAGAAGAGGCAGAGGCATTTCGCGTATCAAGAAACACTGTTACCTTTATTTTTACATATTTAACACCTCCAAACGTCTCTACACTACAATATAGATAAGTGAGGCAGGATGAAGGAGCTGTGCGGTCTTGTCCTTTAAAGGGCTACCGCCGCCTGAGCGTGGACATCGAGGCCATGCGAGACACACGTAGGGAAGTCCGGGACAAGTGGAGGACCATCTTGGAGAACCTTGGTGAGTCCCATCTTTTCTCTTCAGAACCGCATGTTCACCAGTTTTGTGTAAAGTGCAGTGGTGCTTTGGAGTATAAGTGACCCAACCCGACGGGCAATCACAAACTTGAGACACTAACTGGACATTTTAAATACACAAAGTATAAACCTTGTGTCTTGAAACAACTCCATAGATTTGCCAGAGGAAAAGTCCACTTAGCTTAATGCTACTAAACAGTGCCAAACACCATTTGCGTCCTAATTGTTAGCATTGGGAGGTTTTAGAATCAATGTGTCATTGAACATAGTGGATGGGTGGTGAGTTTGGGACTTGGGCCTTCAGTAGGGACAGAAGTAACTTAATCCACTTTACATCATCGCAATAAAAATGTACAAAAATGCGATATCACACTGCATGGCATTGAAGAAGAGGCAGAGGCATTTCGCGTATCAAGAAACACTGTTACCTTTATTTTTACATATTTAACACCTCCAAACGTCTCTACACTACAATATAGATAGCAGTTCAACCAACAATATTTTTCAGTGTAAAAACTTGAAACGAGCCAGACAGCCACATTGTTGGTTGACCTAATCTCATAAATTTCACATTTTCTTGAAGAGTGTGCCTTGAAAATGAATCTCAAATCATGTACAACATCATCCTCCCTTGGAAATCAATATTTGGTACGCATTTTAAGTTCAACCAGTCTGAGGAATAAGCATAGCTGAACGAATCAGAGGATGGAAAATGGCAACATCAGTCTGAGGATTTCTGAGAGTCCGGAGTGGGTAATCGAAAATCTGAAACCGTTTAAAAAAAGAAACTGTTTCAATGGTGTGTATGTATGTATGAGTGTGTGTGTGTGTGTGTGTGTGTGTGTGTGTGTAGGGGGGGTATTTTATTATCTTTGTTTGATGTTTATTTTGACACTAAGCTTGAAATGTGACTGTCAATGATATAGCTTGAAGCCTCTTTTTTTTTTTTTTGAAGAATCTGTCAAGCTACTTGTCAAGTAAATTGAGTAGGGCTCACTGCCATCATACAGCGCTTTTTATCTCAAGTCAGCCGCACTCGTATCTCATGGCACAGCTGTATTTGCACTTGTACTCCCATTGCATTCCAAAACCGAAGTTTACCATGGACGTCGTCTTCCAGGCTTCATGGCCGAGGCCGACTCGCTGCTGACCGTGTCGGCCGGCGCCTCGCTGGACCGCATGCGCAATGCCGCGGCAGCGCGCTCTCTCCTACAGACGCTCCACACCGAGACATCGCTCTTTAGCAGCAGGGAGCTGCCGCCGGAGAGATACCTCTTCATTCTGGTGAGAAGGCTGAAAAGTGTCCCATCACATACACTTTCGAATTGCTCTGCACTGTGGTGTTGTCAAAATAACCTACCGCGACCGGCAATTCATCATGGTTTTCTCCCTTCAAAATAGTCTGAGCTAGTTATTTCAGAGCCGCGTTAACCGCGCTGTGTTAAACGCATCATCAGTGTAGACCCTCCAGCAAATTAAAGTTATTCTGCAATAAAGAGTGGGCCACAACACTTAAATTTCATGTAGGATAAATGTCACACAGTCCATCCTATCAGGGTCCTCTTTTGCCCCCCCGCAACTATATTTCGACAATACACTTCACCGCTCCCAACTTTTTGACCTTCCCGGCCAGGATCGCTTGCTGTACCTGGACATCGCCGAGGACTTTGTGGCCAAGGCCAGGCGCTTCTTCCCGCCCCGGGACAACTCGGACGATGAGGACGAGCCTTCCGGCGCCATCAACCTTCCGCTGCTGCTGGCCCGCGTGGAGGCCATGAACGGCGGCCTTAACGATGACGACAGTGGGGGGAGTCTGGAGAAGCCCTGAAGGGTTGTAGTACCTCCAGACACCCGGCAGGGGGCGGCATACTTCAAGGTTAAATATTCGCTGTAAGGTTGATAATCATCAGGGCGTCCTATGAGCATCACATGACTAGACAACCAGTTGCCTATCCAAACAGCTGACTCGCTCAAGTATGTTTGGAGAATAGAAACAAGTCAACTGTTTGCACGCTGCTCTCTGTCTTTGGCCTGTTCACAATGATAACAAATAAAAGTTGCAAGCCTTTCGGAGTCCATCCTGAGTCCGCGTCACATGCTGTCAGCGGGTTATTTGGAGTTCAGCGGAGTGATTTAAAGGAAATGCTTTTGGCGTCGACACATGCTTGTGCACGTGGGCCCAGTTGGCGGGGACACGCCGCTCCGCCAGGCATGCCGCAAATCCCGGGGCCCGGCGTGGGGCGCCATCCGGCGTCTGGTG